TACTGTAATACCAACCAGAATGCAGCACCAGACCCCAACAGCTACAGAGAGGTGGAGGCTGTACCTGGGTACCAAACCCTACTGTCTGTGTAATTAACCCCATACAAGCCACAGAACAGGAAGGTTGTGCCATTTTGGTGGCATGGATCTAAAGGGACACACCCAAAGGGCAGAGCAAGGGGATCCACAGAGAATTTTCAGCAGGACTTAACATGATACCACAGTGGAGGTCAGAGCATATTTGGCCATCCTGCCCTCACTAGGAAAAATTCCTTTCAAAGCATTAAAATTCTAACACGCTGTTTAACACATTAATTTTTTTTTTTCTTTTAAAGCTGCATCCAGTTTGCACAGATAGAAGAAACCCTGTTCTCTGCTCTCCCCTTCTCCACACTCTTCCTCCTCCTGGGGGACCCGGGGGAGCAGCAGCAGCTGCTGGTTTCTAACAGCCACATAACATTCCTGACAGAAGGAGCCTGTTCAAGGACCTGCACGGAGATACCACACCAGAGAAGGAAAAAGGTAGGCAAGAGCAGCAGTGCCCTCCCTGCCTGTGGGTGGGAGGAATGTACCTAAAGGCAGAGCCAGAGCCTGAAGTGCTAGGAAGGGGCAAGAGGCAAGGAAAAGCATCTTAAAGCCGTAGTGAAGTTAACAGCAGAGGCAATTTGCCCAAAGGTGCTTTTAAAAACCACAGGAAAAGATTTATGTTTTCCCTGTGTAATGTGGCTTTTCCCCCCTTTTCCAAATAAACTAAGTTAACAACAATGTTTTGACTATTTCCAAGCACGTTCTGGAAAGTCAACCACCTCTCGACCTACCCAGGTAGAAGTTCCTAAATGTTGGAGTCCACAGCTCCTGAGAGCACATGCCAAGGAGCTGGGTGGCCACACCACACTGGCTCCTGTCCAGCATTTTCAAGCTGTGCTGAAATACGGTTAAAAACGTTAAATATTCTCCCAATATTTTCGATACAAACAATCCCCACAGCTGCCAGGAGGACATTTCAGTTGCACAGGGGAAGGGCACACGGCCAGGAGATACTCTGACACAAGAGGTGTCCCACATTACAGTAAAGTCTTGAAGAGGGATATAAATCACTACCTATCATCACCTGCACTAACTTGACGCTGGGAAGCATCCTTTCTGTCCATCAAGGCAATGACAACCAAAAAAAAAATGATGTGCCCCACACGGCCACACCTCCTCCTGCTACAGTGCTGTTAGAGTAGGTAAGGACAAACCCCCTGATGCAGATTAGTGTGATGCAGAGAGGTTGGATCAGATGACTCAGTGTGGTCCCTTGCAACCTTACCCATTCTGCGATTCTACAAACCACCAAGAAATACGCCATGACAACCGAGCCAACACAACCCAAAGACCACTTTTGAAGTGGCACGCAAGTTTTGTACAGCAGATGGCTGACAAGGCAGCCATTTAAAAGGGGAGGAAGGGGGAAAAAAAAAAAAGCCAACCCACCCCAGAAGGCAGAAGTGCTCTCTACCATCCTCAGATCCATGTAAAAACACAGCATGAAGCTGAACACGTCCCGAAGCACCCGCTTCTGTCCCACTGAACTTTTGACCTGCTGGCGGTAGCTGAACCCCTCCTGAGTCCATTGCCGGGTGATGCTCCTGCAGCAGAGATTTAAAAAGAGGAACCCAGGCGCCTGCATCTGCCAGAGCCAGCCTGAAGGCCAGCTGTGCCCACCCCCTCCCCAAACAATGCCCAGAGTCCAGCCTGATGGATGCTCCTCTTTCTCGTTGGACACCCCTTCCCCTGCAGTCTCTGGCTTTGCACGGGTCCAGCAAAAAGAAAATGAAAACATTTGATTCCCGGGTTTCTGCCATCCAGCTGCTGATGGCAGTCCCACATCTGGAAGGCTGGAAGCTTCTTTCGAGCCAATAAGTATAGGGTAAAGGGTTTGCATTTAAAAAGTGAAAAGGAAGGGGAAAAAAGAAAAAAAATAGCTCCATTCTGCCTCTCTAAACTACTAAAGGCCCCAAACTTCTCAAATACCCTCATCAAATCTGCTCAGCACAGGAGGACAGGTCCAGATGGCCTATCATTACAGAGCCTTCCAGCTAGCTATGGAGAAACCCGGCAGAAGAAAAAAAATATCAGGGGGGAAGGGGTAGGGGGGGTATAAGGGTAAACCCCCCCCCCCCCAAAAAAATACCCAAAGCTTTTTAAAAATGACCAATAGAACACCACAAATTGGAAGATCAGGCTTTGTCTCATTTGAGGACTGCAGGGATGGCAGCAGTGAAACCTTAACCTGACTTGCCTGCTGAAATTGGAGGGAGAGTGAGAGCAGGGGATATTTGTTTCAAGCAGAATTAGGGCTTGTTTAAAACTTCTGCCTTTTGTAAGGATGTTGTAAGAGTTTAGCACCAAATTCCTCCCTGGAGATACACTGGTATCAGAAAAACAGCAAGAAAAGCACCACCAGCCAGAATTTAAGCTCAGAGGAGCTGACACCTCCTAGGAAGAAGAGAAAATCCAAGAAAAGACAGCTGCATCCACTGTAAGAGCATCCCTTAGAGATACTGGGCAGAGCTGGACAAACATTAGCTGTGAAGCTCAAGGGGTTTGAGCCTGAGCGTCCTCCAGCTGAAACCCTCTGAGCTTGAGATCTCCATTTTTCCTTCTGCATTCACAGATCCACTCCAAGCACCCGTTTTACTCTGTGCCCAAATGCACTGGGGCAATCACCCCAGGGTTACTCATGAGGGGCAGTAACTTTCGAGGGAAGGGGCATACCCCAATCCGATGGTGTTCAGCCCCAAGCACACCTCTCCACAATTACCAAAGCTAAAGCAAGAAAACACCATTCATACATGCGCACAGATTCACTTTTTGATGGACAGCTACGGTTTTATTTCCACCTAAAATGGTTTTAAATCCTGGCATCTCCACAAACCCCTAGAAGAATAGTCACTTTCATTTTATTCAGACACCCCTGAAACTCAGGCATGTCTCAGAGGTAGCAGTGAGACCAGCCAGAAAGGGCACTGGTATTATTACATCCAAAACCGTGGAAGAAATCTTCTTTATGCAGATAAATAAAGCACAAATTAAAAAAACACCAAAAACACACAGAGCAATACTCTTAGAAAAAAAGTGTAACTCCCATCGCTGGCCATTGATTTCAAGACGTGAACTATTTGAGCAAGCTCTTTGTGCAAAAATCTGTTCCCAGACATCCCCAAAAACAGTGGAGAGAGCGGAACAGCTACACCAGGCAAGAGGTAAGGAGATGGTGAGCTTCAAGGAACAGCAACTTTTGAAAGCGCTTGTGCCGAGCTGCTCACACTCCGGCAGAGAAGGAAATTCACTCCACGTGCCCGAAAGGAGCAGAGCTCTGACAGCCGCATCCGTCCCCTCGCAGCATCCCGATTTCAACCGCAATTTCCACCGACCCTCGGACAAACGCCATGCTTTAAAACCCATTTCTGCCAAGGGCTGCGGGCCATCCACGTGCACGGAGTTTTTCGGACGGTGTTTTCGGCGTGCTGCTTCGGCTCTGCAACACCCCCAGCACCCACGCGCCCGCACTTCTCCTCCTCCTCCCGGGCATCCCCCCCAAAAAAAAGCAAGTTAATTTGTTCCGAGTGATGATGTTAACTCCCCCAGCCTAAGCGTGCTCCTCGAACCAAAGGGGAGCCCACATTTACTTCAGCTGTGAAGCAAGCCAGATGCTAATTGCCTCCAAAGGTGAAAGGCTAGTGCCTTGGCCCTTTTATCATTGTAAATTCAGGTTCCTTCAAGACTTTACGCTGCTGGGCCCGGAGAGCCTCCCCCTTTAATGGTTTGGCATCAATAGGAGGGGGAGGGGAGTTCTCTTTCGCAAGAAGTTGCATCATTGAGAGATCTTATCCCCTTTCAAGATTTCGTACCGCATAAGGGATTCCCCCTCTTCAGAAATCTACATCCTGCTCGAGGAGTTTTTGCTCTTTGGGGCTTCGCGCATCTCATTGAACTTTTAAGCATCTTTGGAATTCGCATTCACGGGGCAATTACTGTCTTTAAAAAACACACGCCACCACGTTATTCACCCGGTTTATTGCCAACGCGCTGGCAAGAATAGCTTTTCACGGCAAGCACAAAAGATTTCCTACCAGGACACACTTTGTTTGTAACATTTGTAGCCGGCGCACAAAATATTTACGGGACATTAGCGGCGCACACGAAAATAAGAATTAAAATCAAGCAGAAAAAAAAACCCCGAAAAACCAAACAAGAAACTTACAGGAGAAAACGGGTCAGAAGGTACGAAAGCCGGGAGCGTTCGCCCCGCGGGGCACAGGGGCGGTGGTGAAGGCACCGCCGGTGCCCCGGCGGCTCCGCTGAGCCGCACAATGAGCGGCGCGCTGCCCCGCGGAGCCCTCCGGCCTCGCCGGGATGCGGAAGAAAGGCTGGGCAGGACCCCGCGGCGGCACCGGCCAGGTGGGGACCCCCACCCGCAACAAAAGGAGCCGAGCCCGGCAGACCGGAGCGGGCTGGGGAAACCCCCCCAAGAGCAGCGGCCGGTACCCCCGGGGGAGCTGGGGGGTTACCGGGCCGGGCCCGCCTCTCGCCGCCACCATTTTGGGCACGGGGGACCCACGGCGGGCTCCGTGCCGCGTCCGTCCCCCCGCCACCTTTGTGTGCGGACACCGGCCCGGCGGAACAATGCGGCCCGGCCCCGTGCGCCCGCGGCCGCCCCCGCCGTGCGCCCCGCCGGCCGCGGAGCCGGGGGGCTGCTGCCCGCCGCCGCCCGGGACGGGCGCGCCGAAAGTTTGCGAGCGCGCCCGGGAGCGACGGGGAAGTTGCCGGGTCCGCCGCGAGCCGAGCGAACGCCCCGCGCCGCATCACGGCGGGATCCGGCGGCTGGCCGGGGCAGCGGGAGAGGCGTGAGGGACCCGCCGGGCAGCGGGGGCGCCGCGGGAGCGCCGCGGGAGCGGCGGCACAGCCCGCGGGCTGTCCGGCGGGACGCGGCACGGCGTCCGCGGGGTTCTCACCTCGATCTCGAAGTCCGGCAAGCGGAAGGCGGTGCGGAAGAGCGAGCAAAAGTGCGCGATGGCCGGGACTTCCCACCAGGAGCGGAGCTCGTCCAGCGCCACCGCAGCCGCCGCCTCGGGGCCACCGGTGCCGGCTACGCTGCCGCCGCCGCCGCCGCCGCAGCCGCCGTCCTCCTCCGGGCACATCTCCCGCGGCCGCCGTCCGCCCGCTCGGTCGCTGCCTCCCTCACTCCGCGGGCGGCTGCGTGT